TCATAACTTTTTTTTTGTCTCACTTTTCTTCGTTGAGTTCAATAAACTCACAATTTCAAGCTGTATCCCATTTATATAAGCGCCTAGTAAAACGGTACTCAGAGTGAGTCAGAGTGTGAATGAGGGATATTCCCAATTCGCTTGTTGGCCACGAACATGGATAAAAGATGGCCACATATTATATCATTTGTTGTTAGGGCGGTCTCTTCTCTTTCATCTACATTTCTCTTTTTTTCAATCGCTTCCATATCGTAGGAAGCATTCGCTTATCACGTTCACTTTTTCTTCTCCCTTTTGATCTTTTTATGTTTTTCATCTTTCGGTCTTTTTATTTCTTATAGAAATCATTGAAACTGAAAAGATGAAGAAACTAAATGATATAAACTATTTAAAAAAAAGAACAATCACCATCTATCAACAAAATTTATTTAAGAAGACATTTTTGCCATAAAAAAGATTAAATGACAAAGAAAAAGAATAATCATAAGTCACTTTTAATTATTTCAGGCAGAAGAAAGTTAAAGTAGAAAGTAGTAAGTTTTTCTTTAATGGTAAACCAAGTATTTTCGTCGTTGATAAAGCGTTCTATATAAATATCGTCATTTTTCATTATACAAATGTCAATCCATGGTAAATCAAGAATGCCTAATAATGCGATCAGCTGGTAATAGTAAGGATGACCAGGACGGAGACGCAATCGACCACCATGTCGTTCGAGACAGAAGTTCTCTCGAATAAAAATAAGATCATCCCATGTCGCACCAGGTTCTGCAAACACACATTTACATTCTAATATGCCGTATGATATAACATTATTGGATTTTTCCATTACGACGGCGTCTGGACTGCAACAGAGATAAGGAGCTGTTGCAACTACAACAAGTGCACAAGGATAGGTTGTTGAGCAAACATCATCTAAGAGTAAATGTGAACAAAAAATTCTTCAGACAAAATACACTTACTCCTAGCTTGCTCGCTCACATATCGACGTTCAAATATTACATGGAACATATTTATCTTTCGGCAAGTCAAATATCTGTTTTAGAAGAAAATACTAAAGGTCAATCATCTTCTACTCATTGGCATAAAGCCAGACAACGTAGGATTACAAGTAAAACTTCCATTTCCCAAAGCTTTCTTT